TACATCCTGGGGCTGAAAACTAGACCCATTTCAGTACTTGCTGATAATCATACTTTTCTTCCATAGAACCCAAAGGACTTTAAAAACATTTGTTAAGCCTCATAATACCCCTGTGTTCATTCTACAGGTGATTAAACTAACGCACAGATGAGGGCAGTGGCTGCGTCCTGGGGAGTACTTTGGGGTCAGGAGGAGAAGCGCATTACAGGTTTCATTGTTTTCGTTATTTCAGATATACTAAAATCAGTTGACCAAAAACCATGTGGGATATCCACACAGTTAAAATGGCTATTGAAATTTGCAATAATTTGCAATCAGATACTTGGATTCTGTGAAAACTAGTAAGACATTGTGGAAAAGGTAAATGACCTAACTTTGGCTGTTGTGAAAATATAATTTATAATACCTGGATACACACAACTCCACTGGGAATCTCCCAGATAGGCTTGTGTATGTCATACAGAACAACAGAAGCTCCTGTGCTGGCAAGAGCACATCCCAGCTTGTATCCAAAATAGCCTCCGCCTCCTGTCACCACTGCTCTCATACTCTTTTTGTTCACTGCTCCAGCATTTCCGTTCACTTTGGAGTTGGAGGTTTGGCGCCAGGGTGTTGCTATCCTACTCAATGTAAGTTTTCTGTCAGTGAAATGCTGTCTTCTATTACCAGACAGACGCAACAATTTCTCCTCCATGTTGAAAATTGCTCCATAGCGCTCCTGGATGCAGACGATTCCAGTGAGTTTCATGTTAACAAGCTCTATTCACAGCAGCAAAGTTTTACTTTAATGCAACCTGTTTCAGAAAGATAAAGACAAAAGCAAAACACTAGCTACAAAATTTCCAGATTTCAAAGGTTTCTTTTAAAAGACCCATTGAAATTTTCTGCTCAGATTGTTTGAGTTTGTTTAATTGTAATTTTCACATTTTACAAAGGTTTAAAATGTTTGTGTACTATATTAAAGAAAGCATCCTGAAAACAAATAACAAAGTTTGCATGTTAAATATTTATTTGCAAATGGTATCCAGAATAATGAAAAAGTAAAAAAAAAAAAAAAGCCTCCCTAATGCAGAGAACATGAATTCAAATGTTTTCCATGAATGGGTCAAAATTAGAATAATGGTATAGACCATATTTTTTTATTAGCAGAAGGTAAAATGCTGCCTATGTGAAATGCATCTCAGTTCATTGTGGTCTGTGTCACAAGCTCAAAGACGGCCTTCAGGGGTCAGACAGGATATAGGGCCGTACCTGAATTTGAAATCTTGAACTGTCAGAAAAACTCTAAAGATGAGCAAATTGCACTTAAGTTTCTTTGCTTAAAAGACAAGCAAGCAGGGCCAAGCAGAACAAAACGTCCCCTACAGCAAACGAAATCTTTAATGCTTCTTCCACTTGTCACAGGTTTATCACAGACAGACATCTGAGAAAAGCAGTATTTCCAACTCATTTGTAAGTGGCGACAGCCGAATGTAAATTAAGAACACACTGTGTTTTCATTGTTGGTAGCGATGGAGTTGAGATATATGAGGATTTCAGAAGGAAAGAGGAATGTCATACTTTATATCTTTAGAAGGTGTATCAGAGAACAAGGCTATCAAATCCCTCACTTTCAAGGGGAACTAGAATAAAACAATCACTATGTGACAGAAAGGGTCAGTGACTACGTTAAGAAAAAAGTAATAGTGAATCATTTCTTTCTTAAGCGTGGATGTTCTTTCCCCTCTCTGCAATGGTCAAGGGTTCACCGCCGTCACACCGGGCGTTTTAGAGGCGGCAG